TGAATATTTATTATCATTTCTTTCCCTCTAAAGACGTTTTTTCTTTATATTCTTTATATCTGCTTATCAAGGAATAAATTATTCTATAATATCTTAATGCACTTGTAAAACTCTATTGTTATTCAAAATAGTATAAAACTCTTTAAAGTATGAATACTGTTTGTTATAGTATAATGCTATACTACATTTATTACACCATATTTGAGACTAGAGAGGATTTTTTAAAGGTGGCTCATTATTTTTTTCTGATAAAATAATACTATAAACAAGTATCTCTTCTCTCTTTGTATTCTGAAAAATGATTTTCACTAATAAATCTATCTAATAGCAATTCAAAATTTTCTGAAATTCTTATTTTTTTTGAATTATTTGTTTTTTCTTTAGCTAAATTAACTGAATTTTGACTTTGGTTTCTTGTTATATGTTTTAAAGGATTTTCTACTGCATCTGCAATTAAACTTCATACTAATTCCATTCTATAATCCTTATAATTGGTATATACTCTTAATTTTTTGCATACAAGAAATGAGTTTATAATAGACATATCTAATAACCAAAAAAATAATAAAATTCAAGTTCTACGAACTACTAGTTGTATTGAATAATAACTGTATAGCTAGTCTGCTATATTTACACTTCTCATAAAATAATTGTAGTTATCAATAAGCTTTGGAATAGGCAAAATTTTCTAAGTAGATTCTCTAAATACTGACTTAATTTTTTTACTATTAGTGCTTGTTTCTCTTAACCGTCTTCTTTCTCTACTAATTCTACTTTCTTCCTCATCAATAAAATATATTGTGGTTAATATAGTTACAGAACTGTTATCTATTTAAAGCAATGCCAGCACATTATCTACTATGACACCTTTCAAAAAATCTCATTCTAAATTTTTTTTTTCTTTTTCTCTTTTTAGAATTGCAAGAAATTTTGCTGAATTAGTTCGAACTATACTACATACTCTATAACTACTATTGCGAAGAAGATTAAACAAGTTAATACTTGAAAAATAGTTATCTATGAAAAAATTGAATGCTTTGTTAGATTGAAGTTGTTTTATTAAATAATAAACTTCAGATCCAGTTCTATTAAGATTAGGAATTAAATCAACATTAGAAGGCTTGATTCTTGACATGAATATAAAAGTATACATATAACCTGACTCGCATAGAGATAGAATTTTATAACCTTCAGAGTAGGTTTGTTTTTAATCTGAAAAGTATATATGCTACACTCAGAAAACTGAGCAATCATCTCATCAATTGATATATTTGAAGCAGGAGTATAAAGTTTTTTTAATATATTATGAATATGTAATACAAGAGACTCAAGCTTTATAAATATATCAGTTTTTGAAATTTGTGTACAATTCGAAATATGTATATATCACTTAATATAAAATTTAAGAAATTTTAATTTAAAAAAAAATAATAAAAAATTTATATAACTTATCTGTTGAAATCAGAATAAAGATATAAAATTAGTTATTTCATATGACAGATAATATATATCCTTTTTCTAATAATCTTTAATAGCTAGGAATTTAAAAATACTTATATAAATTGTTAAAGTGATTCATATTTTTAATTCTTGAATTGTCAATTCTGTCCAACTTTGATTTTCACCTATTGTATTATTTCCTTTTTTTACATCATGTATATATGTATAAATATTTGTATTTTTTACAATAGTTTCTATTTGATGAATAGAAAAAAATTTAAAAAAGATATTGTAAGACAAAATATTTAACTCTAGATCTTCAGTTAAATTTAATTGAGATTCATATAATAAATGATTATATTGAAAAGGTAAAAAATTAAATAAGAATATATAAAACAAATCTGTTTTTTCTTTAATAACTTCTTTATTATCATCTTTATTATTGCTTTCTTCTAAACTATCTCTCAATATATTATCAATTAAATTTTGATTTCTAGTAAAAGAACAAGAATAAAAGCTCTCATCTTATATTTTATTTATATTGATATTAGAAAAACCTGTAACAAAAAAAAGAATTAATTTTCGTTATCTAAATAAAAAAAAATCTTTATTGATTAAAACTATGTAGCTATTTAAATTAAATTTTATTAGTTAAAACTAGCAGGCAAATTTGCTTGCTTTACAGTTAATTATTATTTTGATTATCTAGCAGGCAAATTTGCTTGCTCTACAGTTAACTATCATTTTACTATTTAAATTAAATTTTATTAGTCAAAACTAGTAGGCAAATTTGCTTGCTCTACAGTTAACTATCATTTCACTATTTAAATTAAATTTTATTAGTTAAAACTAGTAGGCAAATTTACTTACTCTACAGTTAATTATTATTTCGATCATCTAGTAGACAAATTTGCTTACTTTATTTTTTTTTTGTTTTTTGTTATTAAGGCGGCTTACATTGCCGAAGGAATTTTATTAGAATTGCATACGGGATATACATTGATAGTCCC